AAGTAAGTGGTAGGAGCTGGAATTCATGGTCCGTTGGGTTGATTTCCAGTGCGTATTTACCGTTGAAGAGTCGCTAACTAGGATGAAACAGCTGTCCAATACTTCTTGTAGGTTTTCTAATGGTTCTGCAATTAATGTCAACTCATTGTCAAACCTGTAACTAATTCTTGTAACAATTTACACGTATGAGATAAAGTTAGGTTTAATAAAAGGAAATAATTACTATTCATTTTGTTTCACTATATATACAAGAAGATGGTTGAACTGCTTACTTTACCTAAATATGCAAAAATGAAATACGAAGTATGCTGCATTTTTTTAAAACGTTGTAATTACCCTTCAATCAGTAAAAAATAAAAATTATCCAGTTAACAACTGTCAGGCATCGGTAAAACAGCAGTGAAATGCTCACCAGGCGCGGCTCACATGGGCCGGGGTTCTATCCCTGGCCAACACACACCTTTACCTTTATAGGCCAGTAGTACGACTGGTAAAGATGGAAGGTTGGGCATGAGGTTAGCAATCCTATCCCGTAATAATAAACGTCACTGCTACCGAAACTTCAGCGCTCTAGCTTGAAGCCCTATATTCCACTGGGAGCGTGAAGGAACAATAACACTAATAGTTTAAATTTCTTAAATAACAAAATGCCATAGTCACTTCATATTGATTGTTATAGGCATAGACAGTAAACGGAAACTGATTCCTGAACGACAGGTAAGCACATATAACAGTTCTCTCCATAAAGATCTAAACCGACCAGGTAAGGGGTTTCACAAATATAACTAACAAATGTGTTATGGCGGGCTGTTTGCCACCTGGGCTACCTTTCCTTTCCGTATATCTACATATATGCATATGGATACATATGCACACTGTTTCGGTTCCAGGCCAACGAACTCCAACACTTCGCCCAGTTTACTTACCGAAAGGCGAGGTTGGATGTAAGACTCACAACCCCACCCCGTAAAACAAACAAAACTACCACTACTGGGACGCCAAAGCTTAACCTTGCAGCCTCATATTTCTCCCGGAACATTCGCGAAAAGTGAAAAGAGCTTATTCGAAACAGCATATTTCACTTCCAGTCTCCTGGTCATATACTTAATGAATTTATTCATTATCATATGATAAATTGCAGACCAATTAGGAAAACGAATCGGCCTTAATGATCGTATCTCACTGGGTGTAGAACTATAGAAATATAATGTAACTAACTTTTAGTTAGTTCCCTTGGTAAGATACACATTTACAGAACATTATTTACTAGACTACGTTTTAAGCGAAAATTGTTGCTTACACAAGTTTGAAATCACAAATTACTCAATGACCAATGACCACACCATAAATGAAACGATAGACTGACCTATAAATCTTCGTAACTCAACTAAACTGTAGCAATATGACGTGGAGATGATTCGGCGCATATTACAGACATTACAGGTATCCACACTTCAAACGATGGTAAATTTCATGAATTCCTAATAACCTGTGCTGTTATTGGTTGTTCCCGAAATGAGATCATTCATCTCAGAGGAAACAACAACATCAAAAGCAGCTAACTGAGCTAGCGATCTTCCTAATTATTTCAAAATATTATCAGTGGCCAGCACGTTTATCTGTTCGAAAAACGAAAGACGTTTCCAAGAAGATGTGCATCCTCTGAGGAACAATTACTTTTTCTCTACGAGCATCTGTAACGAATATTCTTGGTTTTCTTGTTTTCCAGCATTTACTACTATCTCAAACGACCACAATCCAACTTCTATATATATTAGGGAGAAATAATAAAATGAACCTTACATAACTATGAAAGATGTTTTATGCTGTTTCCATTGCATCGTATTCTTTCTCTAGATCATGATTTTTTTCATGCACTAAGACGAACTCATTATTAAGATTTCTAGTTTCATTACTACTTGTATGCTGACATTAATGATATACTTTTCCTGGATAATTTCTATTCAAGCCTTGGTATTTTAACTTACTCCTTATCATCTTGACTCTCAGACTGTACATCATATCATACCATCTGTCGTGTTATTGTCTTTGGAACTAAAACCTGCCCTGGAGTAGAAATATTTCTGAAGAATGTTAGATATTTACATTTATTTATCTTGTAAAAATGACAATATCTTTAAAACACGTTACGCAGACTATTAACTATTAAAATACGATCCATAGTTATTTATCTATTAATAGAAAGTAATCAGAGCTCATGGTGATTAATGATGTATAACAGTAATTTTTCAAGATTTATTTTGTGGGGATTCCATTTGTTTCAAGTCTTATCACAGATTGATATCAACTGGAGCAGCACTGACAACCATGGAATACCGGAGAGCTATTTCATCCTACTTTGGAACTCGTTGATAGTAGGTGCCCACCAGAATTCACACCTAGGATTTTTCACTCACATGGAAAGCTGGTAGATTATTTAGCCCTTGGAAATTGATTCATTGATGTGTGAATTCTAAATTCTACAGATATTTTATTTCAGCTTGACCAACAGTCAGCGCTGACCGGCGGAACACCACTGGTCATAACTTCCAAACAGAATTCCAGGCATCCACGTCCTACAACCGGTTTCTGAGTTTAAAGCCTAGTAGGCATCTGCTGCTGATGAGTTGAAAACTAGGACGGAACGATTGTACAATACCCCCGCCCCCTGTTTGCAGTAGTTCTCTAACTTAGATCAATCTGTAATCATACTTGAAATAAAAGAAACTGTTGCGTCATATCACTTACTGGATGACAGCTAAATTTCTACTCTTAACAGGTAAAGCTTACGAAATACAGCCTGTCCTTGTTTATACAGATTACTTCGTATATTTTCTCTTCTATATCCCTTAGGCGAATTCCTTTCCATTCTTTACTTTCAGAATAAAACATCGGACTTCAGCCTTAGTAGTTTCAGTAGCCTCTGTGTAACTGCTGAATATGCAGCCTCCTTAGTTGTTTGCGTTTTCTGCTAGCTAGCGAAGTAGGCCAGATTTAGAAGTGGGTCAGCCTGTATCTGAACCCAGACATCCACCACAACTGGAGAGGATTAAGTAATTACCTGTCGAAATGCTGTTTAGTTTAACGTACTATTTTAACTGTTTCACAGCATTTATGGCAGTTAGTTTTCGTTTCAGTGAGTTGTTAATATAAAATCAATGTGAGTATTCACAGCGACTTCATCATAATTTAAAGACTTCATAGAAAGAGAAATTATGAAGAAGTTAATGAGAGTCAAACATCTACCATGTTGGGGTATACATAAATCGTTTACTGTAGGTTGATTCTACACAGTATTTTGGTACAACTATGGAGTTTTCAGCATGTGATGTCGGTAGCTCAAATTTTCCAGGCCGACTTTTGATATCAGGTCTGCATTGGCAGAGGATCGAACCCTGGACCATGTGCATTGTTGGCGATAGTCCTAACAGATTTACCACCCAAGCACAGTACTCAGATCTTTCATAAGGCTGTGAACAACACTGTCATTTAAAATTATTTATTTCCATTAAAACAGTCTTAAGTAGCTTAAGGCCACCACAACTACTCTGTTAAACATAGTTTAGTTTCAAAAGTAACATGAAATAACCTCAAGGTCAAGTATGCAATTTTAAGCATTTACTCAAGATTAACACGACTATTTAAAATAATCAATATATATATATATATATATATATATATATATATATATGCGACATCACAAGAGCTCACAGTAGACGAATAAGCCAACATTTTTACATAGTGAAAGAAAAGAGACTGACTGAACTTCGTATGAAACTTTATGAACTACCGTTTGTTTACACAGACCAGTAAAACTTGCCAGCCAAATCAAAGTGATATGAACACTGGAAGGCCATTTTTCTTGTTTAAGGCAATGGGATTGATCTACAGCCAATTAATATTATATATTATTATGAAATTATGCTCGCCCTCTTGATTATTATTTATGGTATTAAGTAGAACCCAAAGTATGATCAGAATAATTCCAGTTTCCGATGTAAGCCGAGGTGAAATTTAAATTTGAACTGTGTAAACTGTATGGGGATTTGAAAACCGTGGATTTGATTTACTGATAATTTTATGAATAGAACTTTAGCAGTGTAGTGGAATGTAATTCCATCTTGGGTTACTTTATTTGCTACAGTGCACAGTTATACCAAATCAACAAATAGATGACGTCTCGAACGCGATTAATTAATTACCCATAATCATATCACATGGCTTCATAATCTTCTTTACGTATACATATACTCACCCTATTGTTGTTGTTTTCTGTGGTTTTCCATACATTTGTAATAGGTATTACGTCATTTCGACTGCACGTTTTTGGTGTTGATCCGATATACCAGTGAAACATAAGGGCTTCAAGCTAGAGGCTTAAATTTTCGGTAGCAGTGGTGTTTATTTCTATAGTATGGGGTTGCTAGCCTCATGCCCAACCTTCTCTCTTTGCCAGTCTTATAACTGGTTTAGTGAGTTAAAGGAGTGCATCAGTGGCCGGGGATTGAACCCCGGACCACATACATGATCGGAGAGAGTTCTACCATTGTGTTATCGATGCACTATTATATTACCAAAAAATCTATGTTATGTGTAATCTAATTTAATAATTGACAATTCCTTTTCCCTATGTTCCGTACACACTTCATGTCTAGTCTAGAATTTTTTAAAAGTATTCTTGATTTAAAGGGTATGACAGAGATTCTCACTATATATGCTTATTATAATCGCACGACAAATCATATACAAATGTGACATGAAGGAACTCGTGTCAAGAGGAGGAGATGGGAACCTATGGGCAGTCGTGGGACCAGCTACAGAGGACTGAAGACAACAGAACACGATGAAGATGTGATGCTGAAGCCCTATGTACTACTAGAAACCCAAAAGAATAATAATAATACTATGCAATAATCTTTTTAGCCACAATGTATTAACCGCATGTTATAATATAACTCCCTTATTTATTCAAAATTATTATTAATTTTATTTAAAAAAATCAGCACAAATTAGGCTTTATGACTTATCTGTATAATAAAATACACTAGAAGACATGAATGCAACATACTACTTACGAGTCGCATAAAATTCAATAAATTCACATTTACATTTATTTTTCAAGTATATTATAAATTGAATAGAGACTTTTATTTAATGTAAGAATCAGTGTAGTAAGAAAGAGAGGTTGATGATGATGATGATGAAAATGATGATGGCGTCTTCCAGCTTTTTGTTTATTTTGTTGTTTTTTTCTTTTGTTTAAAACGAAAGCAGTAAAACTTTAAAGGCAGTTATACATCTAGATAATGTTTTCGTTGAATAGCGTAATAATGTACGCTCTTAGTATTTTGAATAAAGTTTTCATAAACAACAAAGGATAATATCTACTTGTCTTTTTAAATAATTTTCTATTCACCTTTAGAATAAAGTTATTTTGGAAAGGAGAATCAGCATTAGATTGTTTTTTTTTTACTGTACATGATGTATGCAAAGCATGATATATGTAATCGTTTACATACAAGAACAGATTTATACATTGCTTATTATTGTTGTGTATATAAATTGGTACCTTTGTAGACGGATGCTTGAGTAGCTTGTCTGTTTCATATTCGTTATTTCTTATGCTCATCACAGTAGAATAAAAACAATCCTCTTTGACATTTTTCACAATCAATGTCAAGCCTACTTAGTTTTGTGCATTAGATACTTAAGTTAATGTTTGATTTCACTTTGACACGTTGTCCATTTGCACTTATAACAGTTCGACTAAGACCAGGAGATGGACGCCTTCGACTTGGTAGCAGGTTTTCATTGGGAACTAAAGAAAATGATTGTGTAGAATCTCTTGATTTTCTCTGGGTAAAACTACGTCTTGATAATGCACTGAAAGAATATTTATTATTATTATTATTATGTGATACATTTGAACGTTTACGACTAAACCCTTGTATATTTAAATCATTATTTATATCATTTTCTCTTAAAAGATAATCTTTATTCCCACAATGACATCGAAGTAATCGACAAAATTCATGTCGAAATTGTTGACTTGTTGCCAGGTATATTAGAAATTTAGCTGCATAATGCGTTGTTGCAAAGCATTCAATTAATGCACGTACTGTAGCAAAACGAAAATAAGCTTTCCATTTGGGATCATTAAGAACTTGTTCATCGGTTAGGTGTAAATCACCAGTTGATAGGAGAGGATGTATTAGCTGGGCAGTAGCTACTGAAAGATGTGCAGCAATAAGATAGAATGATGTACACAATAATGTCAATGTACTAGAACGTGCTCCCTTACTTATCGGTTCCACGTGGTGATTACGATCATAAGTTGTATTTGAATTACCATTTATTGTTGTTGCAATTAATGCATTTCTTTTCGATTTAATACTTTGTCGTAGTACATGTATGACTAGAATATTTAAAACCAGGCAGGTAATTGGAAAGCAGAAAAAAAATAATGTTTCTGTGAAAAAATTCCATTTAGTATATAAAGAATGTTCAGTTGAGTCATGATCATCAACTGCTGGTCTAGTTGTACAAACGCTATGATCATATGTGTATACTAGTGCTTGAACACTAGCTGTTAACAGACAAAAGATAAACACAATAAAGACAACTTTTAGAGCACTTTTCCCCGTAGAACGCATTATACTATTCCGTGAACGAAATGGATGACAAATAGCCAAGTATCGTTCCAGTGTAAATGTGAACGCCAGTACAGGACTCATATATTGTATTAAATAATGTACTACTGGGAATGCTTCACATATCACCGGATGATCAAGTACACCGAGTTGCCATGCTGTGTGTAAATACCAGTTAACACATGTGATTAAAAAGCATAAATCCACAACACCAAGACTAGCCTGATAAACTGCAGCAGCAGCACTACCTCCACGTCTCATTGGACGACTACTCCATACAATTATACTGAATAAACTTCCAGGGAAGCCAAGTATTGCCCATATTGGAAAATTGGCTCTTTCAATGATAGTTAAATGTGGTGCAAATGTTTTATAAAACAAAACATCACTATGATTATAACGTTCCCAAATTGATAGATTATCAGGATGATATTCCATAATATTAAGTATTTAGAAAAATTGAAAATTTATACCTCCAGCATATAAATGTCATAAAAGTGAAATAAAAAAGCATTTTCGTAAATAACCTATGTCTATATGCTTTTATAGTCTATTGAGTGTTAGCCAATCAGATGACAGTGATAAAAACATTCGTTTAGAAATAATAAATCAACTATTATCTCTATTGGTCTAATTCATCAGTGTGATAAGTACTAAAAATTTAACCCTATGAAGAAGCCAAATAACTTTTCTCAAGACAAAAGATGATGCATTTTAAACTCTTCAGCTTATACAACTGGTCAGTAACTAGCATTAGATCGATTTCTGTCAACGGAAGACTTACGATAGACATCACTTCCTTGACTTATCGCTTCAAATACAGGTGACAGCACGGAGGAGGATGTTAAAAACAGACAAAATCGGAGTGGCAAGACAGACATTCATCACTTTGAAGTCAGTATGGAAATCTTCTTCACCTTGCTTAAAGAACAGGATTAAGGTACTCACGACTATTGCTGAGTCAGCTGGTGCTTCTGTTCGAGGCACATACCCGGTGTACGCATGACAAGAAGCATTTGGAACAGTCTATTGTAGATTTTTGCATCAGCCGCCTTCTCTGACTCCACACTGAAGACCAGCTTGTCGGTTGGAGCGAGATGACAACGCGAAACTCTGTGAACGAAACAATCACGATGGTGTTATTCAGTGAGTGTTTCGAGGCAAATGGAGATGGACTGGACACATACTGAGAAGAGCGTTGATTGATATCGCACTGCGGACCATTTCGTGAGGATGAGATAAATTGGTAATGACGAGTTTGTTGTGTTTGTGAGAGTGAGGTTGAGGCGATTGTGTGAAGTGTAGATGAGAAGGTAGGGGGAATGTTGAGGCCATTTGAAGGGTACCGCAGAGAGTTGGAAATATGTTGTTAAATGCTTACATACCAGTAGGGACCCAATGAAACATTGATAAAAGTAATCATAGGACACTAAATACATTAAAGTGCACTATCCTTGTGTGACTGGCTGATACTCTAGATACAAATGTGAAGAATAGTTGAGCTATAGCACTATATGCAGTCAACCATAGCCATCCAATAGGATGGGATGAGATGGCAGTCCTAAAATCTGACAAAACAGAGTGGAGCTTCATTTCTCAGATCAGCTGAAAAAAACATGCTCTAGGAATGACTCAACACCTGTTCCAGACATCTGAGGAGTTCTACTGCTCCTATGACAAATGGGAAAGAATAAAGGAAACTATTGCATGAAATGGTATAAAACCACAATAATTTGTGTTCGAAACTGTGTCATCCAGTAAACTGATACTATTTCACTGTGTGATACATCTAATACACAAATTAATATAAAGTAATCACTTTATTCAACATAATAGTAACTATAGACAGTGGAATTCTCAGCCTTGTACATGCTGCATCGATTCATCTATTTTTTTTTATAAATAAACTACGAAAACAGACTTTAACAGAAAAACAATATTTATAATAATGATAATAATTTTTGTCATAATAGTTTGTTGTTTATTTCCAGACTGTTAAGTCGATTTTTGTCAGTGTTTCTCTGACATTGATGCATTCAAACAACAACACCTTTTTTTAAATGGTGTATGGTTGGATTTTCATAATTAGCTATACGGGCAAACTTCAACAATAGCGTTCTAATAGTGCGAACCCACAACTGACCTTCAGCCAACCAATCATAAAAATGAAGAAGTATGCACAAAAAATGATGTTTAATGACAAGAATATGCTCGAAAACACATTCACCAGGTTAACTTTGTCTGACATGAATTAAAAATGCATCCAAGTTATAATGAGGAGTATCAGTTTCTAAGTTAGACTAGTTTCTGTGCATGTATTCACCGAGGTAACCAAAGATGACCTATTTTTCTGAATTGTGTATCTCTCTCATCCAGTTGCGTAGTCTTCTCCAAAAGCCGTCGGTTGAATTACTACGGTTTCCAGTAAGAGGATTCACGATTACTTACCAGGGAAATGTGGATAAGAAAATAAATGGTAACCCTAACCTTAATCCTGAGACTAACCCTAAACTTAACCCTAAGCCTAACCTTAATCCTAACGCTAATTAAAACCCTTATACAAAATCGTAGAACTAACCCTAATCCTAATTATAACCCTGATCCTAATCCTAACGAGCTGCCAACACATTGTCCAAATAGTACTTGAAACGTGATCCAGGCGACATTTCCTACTTAGTTGGTGAGTAGCGTTGATATTTCAGCTATCATAATAACAGGTGACGTTAGCCAACGACTAACATGCGTTCAAGGTCACCGGAGCGTTCACACTCCTGGAACGCCACTGTTGAACTTCACCGCTATACGACTGTAAACGGTGCTAAAATTTCTTCTAGTTTTAATTGTAAATATACGAAGAGAAAGTTGTGAATAAGGAGAGTGTTCAGTATCTGACAACTGCTTACACGAATTAAGTTGTTTGATATCGCCTATATACATTATTTAAGTTATTTGCTTATAGCCTCCAAAGTCTTACATAACATAATCCTTTTTGAGAATCTCAGGAAAGAATAAGGGTGAACAGTAAAGAAGAAGAAATAGATAGACTACATGAGTAAAGGAATTGTAAGCAAACAGGTTGAAACTTAATAATTACCCTGATAAATTAGTCAGAAACTATGTAGGTAAATATAAAAAGTAAAATAAATAGTGATAGTAGTGATAGTGATAACAACAAGGCATAAGTAAAAGTGGCTGACATTCAAACCACCCACAAACTCAATTAGAAACAAGCTTTGTCGGTTAAAGGATCAATCCTGTGGAGCCTTTAAAACAAAACAATTTAATTTATCTAATACCCTGACTGCGATTATTGTCAAAGGTCAAATTAGTAGAACAGGGGCAGTCAGGCCAGCCAAGCATAAAAACCTAGCAAAGTCCGAATTGGTTGGCAGGAATAAGATAAGAAATCTAGAGAATAGTTTAGCCATAGATGGTACTACATGCAATTACATACAACCATACAATAGGATTGGATAAGATGACAGTCTTAAAATTTAATGTAACAAGGTGGAGGGAGAGATGGATAATAGAAGCTTTGTTTATCGAATCAACCGAAGAGAGTACGTGTAATAGGAATGATTCATACCTGTCCCAGATATCTAGAAAATTCTACTTCCACACCTACGACGACAAAAACAAGAGAGCAAAGAAAACTATAAAACTCAAGTTTCGAAGTCGGGTGATTATAATTGATGATATGATTATGAAGAATAATAAATTGTGTTCAAAACGTCCTCCAGTAAATAATAATACTGTTTCACTGTGTGATACATCTAATAAACAAACTAATATGGAATTACTTACTGCCACAGTGCCCAAGTTTTACACATAAATTAACAAATAGGTTGAGTTGCGCCAGTAGAAAGCTTCAACTCCTTTCTATCAGAAGGTGACTGAAAGATTTTTATCCGAAACAACAAAATATCAGACGGCTAACAAAGATTTAAATTGAAACTGACGCCAATTCACTTCCTCCTAGACTGCAGTCAGGATAACAAGAATTATAGGAGTGAATCAGTCCAGTGCAAGTCTTGTTTACGACTTAAACTAAAATGAACATTCTGAAATTTATGAGAGGGAGGACTCAGTTTACAACCACTTGAATATGACTAATGCTTAATCTTTGATAAGAAACTATTCATATCCGAGTACTCCTCTATGCATTTATAATTGTCTAGCATGTATGTGAATATAATGCAAAACATGTAAGCTGCTCATTCGTTGTCTATCCAGTCCAATATTAAGCAGAATGCTGCATTTCATCAAACTATCTTTTTTATCGATTCCGTTTATCATTCTCATTAGATATGTCTTACAAGAGAAGGTATATTTAGTAATTCAAGACTTAGATTTTTATCACATTCATGTATTTTGTTTTTAATTTGAAAAAAAAATGAAATTCATCATCATTTTGCATCTTATTTGAACATGTGATGCAAAAACTATTGAAGAAATATATATATATATATATACATATAGAAGCATTTAGAATTATTTTCACCAGTCAATGTTACACATCAATAAATACAGTAGGTAGGCTAAGTTAACACTTGTATAGCTTAGTGAGAAAAAGACATTTTTAATCAGTTAGTCACATTTCACTTCTTAGTACTTATGATGCCATTTTGATAGAGGAGAGACAAAAAGTTGAAATGCTTATTTAATTTTTAAAGGTTTAACAAATCTTGGTTAATCTCATAGCTTGTGCAGAATATCTAAACTGACTCGTTCAACTTGGCATGTCAGTGTAGATCACGCAGACTTATAAACTTCTCCTGTGACCTACAACCTTCACACTTTAAGCAAACATTCTGACAATGTTTCTCATTCCTCTGTTTTTTTGGATGAAACTCACAGCTAAAAGCTTGGGTTGTGAAGTCTTTATGCGGTGGGATAAGTATTTTTTAACACTTGAATTCCCCTTTTTCTTATCAGCCTTATTGCTGGCTGTGCAACTTTTCGGAACTTGTTGAGAGTGAGTTAGACTCAGCCTTCTATTCTACTGCTGTATGAAGCTTAAGTTTTGAAGTTTCAGTAGCATAAGTGTTTATTTTCTACAGGATGGGTTTACTAGCCTCGTGCTCAACTGTCCGTCTTTACTAGCCTTGTTACTAGCTTATCGAGGTATAAAAGTGAGTCGGCCGAGAATCGAAACTTGGACCAAGTGGGTACTCGGCGAACGTTCTTCCAATGAACCACGGTAACTCACTTCCCAACAACCAATTAACGGTGAGTAGGTGATAACATCAATTAAAGAGACGAAAATGTCAATAAAATTACCCATTAGAATGAACACACTAAACAGGCAATTATCATGAAGCATAGCTAATGTGAAATTGACAGTTTGAAGGTATGCAGGATTCTATTACAATCGTTCTAAATTACTGACTTACATTGTTTTTATTATTGGGAATTTCAGAGAAGCGAATTGCGGAGTGACTATGTGATTACATAAAAAAAGAATATTATTATAAAATCATATTAGGTGGAATAAAAAGGTAGTGTAGATAAGTACATA